ATCGCAACTACCGCATCCCCAATCAGGCTTCGACTGACGATGTCCAACTCTCTAAAACTACGTCTATTGCAACTCATAAGTCAAGCTCTGTAAATTCTTGAACTTTTCTAGACACGAATCAGCAAGCATTTACAATAGAATCTATTAAGCAGAGTTTGGGGTTGCTCGGTGTAATTCAAGAACCGACTCATGTATGTGTTAGACTCTTCAGACAGACTAACTTATACCTACCTGTTTCTTGTGATCTTTGCAGCTTCCTCTTAACTAAACTCGATCCTCAACTCGAAATTTGTTGTGGTTCTATGCAATAAAGATTCGTGCGAGAACAACACTGAGAACATCTCTGACCCACGCACTGAAATGGACAAAGTTTCAATGGCTTTTTTTCTTTTTTTAGGTAATATTTGAGGGTCAGTAATTGACAATGCCGCGTGCTCAGCAGGCGCTTAGTCTGACGTCAGTCCATTACCGCTCATCCAAGCGGCTAACCGCTTATTTCTTTCTTTTGCGGTTGACAGGTATGTTAAAATCAATTTCGATTATTTTGACAACTTTATGATTGATTTTCATTGCTCCACAAATTCTAAATTGAGCTGCTGTTTGCCGGATGACAGAGTAACTTTCTATTTTCCCGTATTGGTCGCAAGAAAAGGCACCTAACAGTGTAACAGTCTGATATTGCGTTCTTTCAAATGACACATCGTAAGAAGGAATTTTCAACTTGATTTTTTTTCCACCAAATATTTGTCAATTCTTACGCCTTGCGGGTACTTTTTTACCATTTACTGACTAACGATTAACCCCATTTAGACACTCTTCTTACTATGATATCCACTCGGGCTGTCCAGTGACTTTACAAATAACTCCTGTCTTGTTAGATAAAAAAAACGCCCTTTCTTGTCAATATAAAAGAAGTCCGTAACTTGAATGTAACAAAGCCAGGCTTTTAGACCAAGAAATTAGCTGCTGCATGTGATTTAAATTGCTACTTTTTTATATACTTCATATATTTATAAATATCTATTATATATACTTTATATATTATTTATATACTTTTAAATACTTTTATTTCTGGGTCCGCAGTAACTGGCCTCAGCTGTTGCGGTGTCCCTGCCCAAATTTTAAAGTTATCAGTTAGTGTATTGTTACGTTCTTATTACTTATTACTAGGCTTGTATTTCCTCAGTTTTTTTTGTTTGTTTTTTTTTCGTATTCTTCAGGGCGAAGCTAATAAAATAAATAAATAAAAAATAAATAAATAAAAACTCCTTAAGTTCTCCGCCTCCTCGTTCCTCTCTACGTAAACGACGGCTACTGCCTAAATCTTTGTAAACGAACTCTTCGACAGCCTTTTGGAATGTCCTATTAAAGTGAAGCGCACTGAGTGAAAACTGAAGCAAACTTCCGGAGCCTTTTATTAGGCTTGGCTGCATTTATTTTTCCTTTCTTCTCGATTAGCAGTTGTGCTCACCTTAATAAGGTTTTTATCACGATTGGATAATGGACATAACGCACTGATTAAAACCTTAGATTTCAAAGAGAGCTCGCGCTCCTTTCTTACCCACCCTCCCCTTCTGAAATTACAAGCTCTCGTTCAGCTTCCTTCCCTTGTTTCACCAATCCTGCATAACACTCATTTTACAAATTTCGTAAGTGATGATTTAGGAAGCCACGAGTATGACCCAAAACGATCGAATATTTTTTTTTTTTTTTTATCATTTCTGTCTATTCAAAGTTTGAGATGCGAGCATCTTCAACCCTAATTTTATTGCCAATGTGAACACGTGCAACAGTCAATGGCTACCTCAAATATGATCATTCGAAAACGGTTATCTGAAGCATTACGAAGGAAACCTCAGTATTACTCATAAACTTGCTTTTTGGAAGAATTAACAACGATTTTCCCATACAAAACCAGCGCAATCAGGAAATATAACCTGGCTTTTCTCGACGTTTCTGGAATCGTGACCAAACCGTCCATGCAAGCGTGTCCGTCGGCCACCGAACTAGAACAAAGACGAAGGCAGTCACGTTTTAGGAAACTGAGATATTTCAAACGTTATAGGTCGCTTTAAGCTACTTAACCGGTATCTTATTACTAGAACACGAGGATCTGATTAACAGCTTCAACGCCAGTTCCTGCAGCAGCATTCACGCAAGCTTTGATTTTCTGTGAAAGAATATTTTCTTGACACGGTTTCCTCGGTATTCAGAGATGGAAAAATGAGACAAGGATGTCGCGGCGAGCCCTATTTTCAAACAGCCCTTTCAGTTTTGTAAGACAGAAAACTAATTAAGATCAACGAGACCTTCATTTGTTTTTCCATTCGAAAGACAACATCCGCTACCATAAATGACATGAAAGGACACTTTGAATTGTAAAGTGGCTAAAATTTAAATGAATGTAAATTCTACCAACCCTGGGGCAAGTCAGTTTTCATTGACAATTATCCTTCACACGCCGCTTCTTTTGCCAATTTATTTTTTTTTGGAAACTGTCGTCGTCTAGGAAAACAGGCGAGACCCCTTGCTCCGAGCTTTAGCCTACTTTATCAGTTCCAACGGCTCTCATAGTTACGCCAATCTGCCTGGCGGATCTAAGCCTGCTTTCAGACCAGAGTAGGCGTGGCCTAACATTAGTTTCCTTTTTCATGGTCACAGGGAAATTAAATTGATTTTAGCTCCACATTGTCTGTTCCCGTTACAGCACTAGTCAGGGCTAAGGTAATAACCAAATGTTTTCTCTCACGACTCCACATTCTCCCTAGATCTTTCGGCTTAAAATTTCGGGTAAAAAGTAGAGGTTTGCATGTAGGTTTTTTAATTAGGACTCATGAATTTCACATTTGCTGTCATTTAAGAGCCACTGTTTCGATTAAAAACAATTTAATTACTTAAGATATTGAGTTATGCAAATAATTATTACTGGCGAAAGGGTAGAGGAAATATACAGCCAAAAAAATAAAAAAAAAAACGTTTCACGATAATTTGAGGAGTTACAAGGAAATACATATTCAAATACTTGGTTTCTGCAAGGGTGGGACAATATCACTCACTTAGC